ACTTTAAGACTTTTTCCTGGAAAAAACTGCCCAAAGCAAAGAATCCTCCCCAATGAGAGAGGGAAAGGGAATTTCTGCCCCATTCCCTCAGGAAAAAAAAAGCAGCGAACTAACTGCTTGGTGGAAAACAGAGAAAATTATAAGATTAATTTGGAATCAATATAGATATATAGCCTTGAAATTTGGGGACTAAAAGGGTTTTTGAGACTTTTTTAGAAAAGAGACTTGAAAAGCTTGCAATATCAGTTTGAAGCTGGAAGAAGACATTAACGACATCTAGTGGCGAACCATGGCATTACAATTTATTATGCTTAAAGGAAAGTTGGCCTGAAGCCCAGACTTTGGGTGTCCTTGGAAACTTTCACTTTTGAAGACTGCAGCCGGAGAAGGGGGAAAAGAAAACTCTTGGGCTGCTTATCTGTGTGGCATAAATATCAAAATAAAATATTTTGAAACTGGCCTGCTTGGATTATGAATATAAATACTGTCTTTTAGTGCTGTGTCATTGAACTATTCCCCTGTAGAAGAAACAAGCATGACTGATCGAGATGATGGAACACTTTGGATTATAAACTTTTGATTGATGAATAATTTTTAATTCTATCTTTTCTCACTGGAAAGAAAGGATACGTTTTTCAATGGAAGGAAAAAAAACTTGGACTTTGCTGATATTTGTTTGGGGGAGGCCTAAGGATGGACTGATAGACTAGCTGGATAATTTGGAGTTCAAATGACAATTGACTGAAACTTTTTAAATCTCAAAATAGATTGGACTATAAAGACCACATACAAAAACAAAATGGAATTTCCACACTTGGTCTTAAATGGTAAAAAACCATCTCTAACATTTGTCTCCAAAACCCCAGCTTCACATACCAACAACAAAATGTTGATGAATCTCAAAAAGAAATTCTTTCTATGTTGAAATCAATACAAGAGACAATTGTCTAAGCTCATGATGAAATTAAAAATAATGCAAGGGAGATAAAAGAACAATTTTCTAATCTAACCTTACAAATTCAGAAAATGACTACAAAGAAGGAACCAGTAATCCAGAAAATAGAAGGAAAATTAGAGGAAGCAGATCCAAAGATGGAGGACTTAAAGAAAGGAATTGACAGACTCAGACAAACAAAGAATTAGAAGATGCAGAGATAATACCGGAAATGGAAAAGATATCTTACTTGTCAAGATCTCAGAACACATTTGAGGATAAGGAAGAAGAGCTGATTGAACAGAAGATAAAGCTGTCAGGAGAACTGTGGAAAATTGGAGAAGGAGGGAGGCTGTTTAATGAACATAGATGGGCTGAGTGTTCTTCCAAAACTAATTTAATCAAATTGTCTTTCTTACTTCAAACAATATACACAAAAATAGGGAAAGAACTATTGGAGGACTCAAATGCATTGACTTGGAAAGTTAGTTGGCAAGGGAAGAAAGCCAGAATAAGACTGAAGAAAATAGAGGTTTTGACCCATTAGATGGGACATTATATTATTAAATAGATGTTTGAACATGGCTAAGAGAATAAATAATTGTTAGAAATAAAAGTTTTACTACAACTAGAAAGATAGGATATGCAACTAGAATACTATATTTTGGTATGAAAAGGGAAATATGAAAATGCCAAGAGGGCCTGAATAAGGGAAACTTGGTTACCCAAATATAATTTACTATGAGAAAACTATAAGAGACAGGATATTATATTATTAAACAGATGTTTGAATATGGTTAAGAAAATAAATAACTGTTAGAAATAAAAGTATTATTATTACTAGAAGGATAGGATTTCTAACTATAATATTATATTTTGGTCTGAGATGGGAAATATGAAAATTCTAAAAGAGTTTGAATAAGGGAAATATATTATGAGAAAATTATAAGCAATAGAGGTATTTTAAACATTGATGGGAAATTGATTTAAAAAAAAAAGCGGGGAAAACAGTGGTTAGTGCTTGCACACAATGGACACAACGGACATCAGAAAAAAAAATCCTAACTGTAAGAACTGCTCAACAAAGGACCAGAGTCTGGAGGCAATGGATTCTTTTTTCTTGGAAGCATTTAAACCAAGGTTTAACATCCATGTATTGGGGATGATGTAGTATTGGATTCCTATACAGGACAGGATATTGGACTAGATCAGGGGTAGGCAACCCAAAACACTTAAAGAGCCACTTGGACCCGTTTCCCACCAAAAACAAAACACTGGGAGCCGCAAAACCCTTTTGATATCTAAAATGAAGATAACACTGCATATATCCTTTTTTACCTTTATTATAGGTGTGTGTGTGTGTGTGTGTATGTGTGTGTGTGTGTATATATGTATATGTATATGTATATATGTATGTGTATATATACACACACACACACACACGTAAAAAAAGGATATATGCAGTGTTATCTTCATTTTAGATGTCAAAAGGGTCTCTCTCTCTCTCTGTCTCTCTGTCCCTCCCTCTCTATCTGCCCTTGGTCTGCCACTCCTCTTCCCCCGCTCTCTTTCTTTCTCTCTCTCTCTCTCTCTCTCTTTCCTCTCTCTCTCCCTCCTTCTCTCTCTCTTTCTCTCTCTCTCTCTTTCTCCCCCCCCCTCCTATCTGCTGCTCACCTGGCAAGCTTCAAGCTGTTGTCCAATAAGCAACCTCGTCTCTTTTATGACTCATGGACTTCAACTCCCAGAATTCCTGAGTCAGCCTAGCTGGGCTAGCTAGCTCTCTCCTGCCCTTCCTGCTTCCTGCTTCCTGCAGAGATGCAGCAAAGGGAGGAGCTCCGCCCAGTAAGCTTTTCAGCTCCTCGGAGAATACTGTGAGTGCACTCTCTTTTACACATACACAGAGAGAGAGAGAGAGAGAGAGAGAGAGAGAGAGAGAGAGAGAGAGAGAGAGAGAGAGAAGCAGGGAAGCACAACTGCCTCTCTCTGTCTCTGTCTCTCTGCAAAGGCAGAGGAGGCTGGGAGCCACGGGGGAAGGCTCAAAGAGCCGCATGCGGCTCCGGAGCCGCAGGTTGCCGACCTGTGGACTAGATGATACCTTACATTCTATTATTATATCCTTTGCAAGACTGCAAAATCTTGACATTCTCATGTAAGATTTTTATATATTTTTGCCATTTCTATTTTCATTTTGAAGGGCCTTGGGAGCAAGTCTTAGGGATCTGGCAAATGAGGAACTTCCTACTTCTGCAACAGATTACTAAATCATGTAAGATGTAGAAGCTGTAGATAAAGGAAAGCTTTTCTCTTCCTCTCTACTAGGAATAGAACAATGGAGTCACAATTTCACACTCCTGAAATTTATGCTCGATATAGATTGTCCCTGACTTACGACCACAATTGGGAACAAAATTTCCATGGCTAAGCAAGACAATTATTAAGTGAATCGCACCCAATTTTATGACCATTTTTGCCATGGTTGTTAAGTGTACTGCAATTGTTAAGTGAATCGCACGTTCGATAAACGAATTCAGCTTCTCCCATTGATTTTATTTGTCGGCAGGCTGTTGAGGTCACAAATGGTGATGATGTGACCCTGGGATGCTGCAGCTGTTTTAAGTACATGCTGGTTGCCAAGCACCTGAATTTTGATCACGTGACTGCAGGGATGCTGAAACAGTTGTAAGTGCAAGGAATGGTCATAAGTCCCTTTTTTTAGTGGTGTTGTAGGTTGCTAAATAAATGATTGTAAGTCAAGGACTACCTGTAAAAGGAAGGACTTAACAAAATAACAGAGTTAGAAAGGATTTTAGAGACCTTCTAGTCCAGCCCCCTGCTCAAGCAGGAGAGCCTATACCATTCCAGATAAGTGACTATGCAATCCCTTCTTAAAAACTTTGAGTAATGGAGCACCCACAACTTCTGGAGGCAAGTCATTCCACTAGTTGTTTTAACTGTTAGGAAATTTCTTCTTGGTTCTAGGTTGCTTCTCTCCTTGATTAGTTTTCATCCATTGTTTCTTGTCTTGCCTTCTGGTGCTTTGGAAAATAGATTGTCCCTTCTTTTTTGTGGTAGCCCCTCAATTAATGGAACACTGCTAGTATGTAACCCCTATCCCTTCTTTTCTCTAGATTAGACATACCCAATTCCTCCAGCCCCCTAATCATTTTTGTTGCTCTTTCCTAAACTCTTTCCAGAGTCTCAACATCTTTTTTTATAATATTTTTTGTAATATGGTGACCAAAACTGGATACAATGGTCTTACTAAGATTTTATAAAGTGGCACTAATATTTCATGTGATCTTGATCATATCCCTCCGTTAATGCAACATAGGATTGCATTGGCTTTTTTGGTTGTTGCCACACACTGCTGGCTCATATTTAAGTATTGTCTACTAGGACTCCAAGATCCCTTTCACAGTTACTGCTACTGAGTCAGGTTTCACCTAATCTATACCTATACATTTGGTATTCCTTGCCCAAGTGTAAAACCTTATTTTTCTCTACATTGAATGTCATTTTGTTAGATATGGCCCAGTGTTCAAATCTGTCAAGATCCATCTTTTGGGGTGTTGGCTATTTCTGCCAGTTTAGTATCGTGTGCAAATTTGCTGAGTTTCCCTTCTATTCCCTCATCTAAATCATTTATGAATAACAGCATTATACACTATGTCACTTCTTCACGTAGTGTATAATGCTGATGAAATATAAGCCAGATAGCTTTAAAAAGAAACAAAAGTGTCATGATGAATGTAAAAAAATTCCATGTTCAGAGGCAGTCTATCTAACACTGAAAAGAAATATTTAGAACAATTGCAACTACCACTGCCAAATCAGCAGATGTGTTTGGCTGTCCAGTATCAGAAACAAAAAACTTGACCCCAAAGTAGCAACACTGCATTCTGGGTTAACAAAATATAACATACTGCATCAAGGAAATAAATCTTATTATGAACTATTATGATGGCTTGGTGCACACAACTATTGTAAGACAGTGATTCATGCTCAACACCATTTTAGCTCATTTTAGATTTGTATTTTCCTCCCATGTATCAGCCCTTTCACCCACCTTGATGATGTCCTCATTGCTGGACTTGCATTTGGCCATTGCTGAAATATCCAAGATAACTCCTGTCATCTCTATGGCGATGATCTTCACAGGGATGGCAACTGTCCGTCCTGTGAGGATGGCTGTGTTGATGATTTCTGTATCCTTAAGGATGATAAAGGAGGCCATGTTTTATTGAGTGGAATGTGGTCCCACCATCTTCTCCTCATGAGCTCATTTTTGCAGGATATCCAGGAAGGTCTGTTTGAGATGTTGTTAACCTTTGCAAGGATGCTTGAGCCCAGGGAATTCTTCCCAACTTGGTGTTCTACAGCTGTGGTAGCTACTAGCCATGTAGTTAGGGATTATGGGATTAGAAAATCAGCATTGCAGGACACCAGTTTGGGCTAGATTCCTCTAGGAAATGGTATTTAATGGCATAAATTCTTGAGAGTTATTCTCAAATGTTTAGGGTAGTAAACTTGAGAACATAAAAATACATACACAAAAACTTGTTTTCACTGCTTCCCTAACAGAGTGTACATTAAGTTGTTCTGATATTGGCAACTGGAGAGGTATAAGTTCATCTGTCCATCCGTCCGTCCGTCCATCCATCCGTTTGTTTGTTTGTTTGTTTAATTAATTAATTAATTTTTATCTTGCCTTTATTATTTTTATAAATAACTCAAGACTGCAAACATATTTAATACTCCTTCATCTTCCTATTTTTTCCACATATTAACATTAATATATGCAAACATAATAGCAAAGCATATGTGTTTAACACTCCCCCAAAAGCCAGACAAAACTCTTATATCACTGATTTTAAGAAGAGATTCATACCAGACTAAGCAATTAAGTAAACTGTTTGATTTAGAGTTAGCATGTTGTATGAAGCCAACTAATATGCTTTGTATTGTAAACTGTAATTTATGGCTGAGTGAAATGGTTGGATCCAACTAATGGTGTTTTTTCAACCAACTTTGGTTAAGGAAACTAAAGCATAACTGCCTCAATTCATTCATCATACTAAGACATGATTTAGTTATTTCTCTGTATCAAAATGATGAAGCAAAGGTTAGGTAGAATTTTTAAAGTCAGTATTAATTTTAATTCGTATCATCCAATATATGGGTATCTCTACTTTCAACCCTAAACTAAGAGTCCCATAGTTTCCATATAATGAAGTTAGAGGAATTAGATCAAGCATTTGAATGAATATTTCAGGTCTAAGATAATAGCCAAACAGAGAACTAAACTATCTTCTAGCTTGCTTCTAAGATAGAAGCTCACCATGGCCAGGGCAAGGATGGCACAGATATCCCTCTGAATTACTGTCAGTTCAGTCACAGCCTTCTCCAAATCGGGTGGTGGGTTGCGACCCCGATAGTCTATATGCCACATGATGCGTCGAGTCACTGATTGGCTGGTGAAGTTCTCCATTTCAAAGTCCAGCTGCATGATCTCATAGGGCGAGTCCTGGTCCCTGGCAGGAGAGAAAGGGGCTTGGATGACACCTGATGCCACAGGGAGGGTGGGAGGGTGGGAAGGGATAGAGCATTCAGTCCAGACAGAAAGATAAACATTAGAATTTATTCCCATATTTGGAAGATGCTCATGACTCCAACCCCCTTTAGCATTACCTTATCTTTCTGAGAAGGAGAGAAAGTTGTCTAATGTCAGCCCTCCTGAGAAGATTTACTGCTCTTCAAATCATCTTCCAACAGCCACCCCAGCTGGCTAAGCAGTACAAGAACCTTAAATTGCTGCATGAATATTTGGTGGTGGTATTTGTTGTTTTTCTTCTGCCACATTTCCTTTTTCCTTGCATGCAATATCTTTTTACACTATATTGTCAAGCTGGGGTTCTCTCATTTCATTGATCTATAATCCGCCTTACTAGCTAAACTACAAGGCTTTAAACAAACAAATATCACTTCTGCAAACATTTGTGAATTTTTTTTTCCTCATCGAAAGACATCCCTGACAAAATATCATATTTATTACATTACTGTTGCAGTATTCAGATTGCTTGGTAATAAACTGCTAGACATTATAAAAAGATTAGCCCTTGATAAAATGGTTTACTTAAAAAAATCTTATTCCAGCAATTACCCAAGAGCAAACTGTGTTACTCTACCTCGGAATAAGTCTTTGTGTGTTCTCCTCAGTAAGACTTACACAGGACTGCACACTGTGAAAGAATTACTAGCTCTATCTAAAACATTCTAAATGTAAGTACCTGGACTGCATGCAATCTTCTTTAGAAGTTATTTATCCACTGAAAGACTATAATAGAATGTTGAAAACAGAATAAAAATGTGAAACTAAGTCAAATGCAGTGACTGAAAATTATTTATCTGCTAAGAGGGCAAGAGGAAAGGAAGCAATAGGAGCAATTCATATACCACTTCAACTGAAAGCAAGCCTAAGCTTATGCAAAAATGAGAAATAACTCCAGTTTATCAGCTACCACCTGCTCAGTGATTAAGGCAAGGGTTGGTATCCCCAGAACCCCTTCCTGCATAGATCCCTCTGATTCTCAAAAACTGTTCTTGTTAACCCTTGACTCAGCCTTACATCCTTCTGAGGTTGGTAAAATGAGGACCAAAATGATTGGGGGCAACATGCAAATAATGCTTCTACCTTGTAAACTGCCCAGAGAGTGCTTTACAGCTGTAAAGCACTATGGGGTATATAAGCCCTAAATGCTACTGCTATTATTTTAAGCTAGGAAGTACAAGAAACTAATGTAAGCATTACAGCAAACTAAACACAGTATTGAAACAAATATCCAGAGACAACCAGAGAGAGACAGCATTCAATCAACTTTCTGAATTTGGTTGCTGAATTTATTTATTAGATTTTATCCCAGCTTTATTACTTTTATAGATATCTCAAGAGGTGAACCTCCTTTCTCCTATTTTCACCACAATAATAACCCTGTGGGATGGATTGCCCTGACTGGCCCAAAGACACCCAGTTGGATTTCATGCCTAAAATGGGACTAGAACTCATAGTCTCCTAGTTTCTAGACAGCACCTTAATTAATTCTCTCATTTTTTTCTGGGTTCACGCATTCACTCACAAAATGGAACGAATGGGTGGAGTTTGCACCACTTCCTAAGTCACAAAGATTCACACAGACCAAGCTGAATGTGTTTTCTTCAGTTTTTATCTGAACACAGTCCCAAAAAAAGAAATCCTACCCCTGTAAGAACATAGCATGACACAGTTGGTATCACTATCCAACTATGCCAGGGTGGCACATTGGTTAATCAAACAACCAGGAGGTCAATTCTGACAGGGCTCAAGGTTGACTTAGCCTTCCATCCTTCTGAGGTAAGTAAAACGAAGACCCAGATTGTTGGGAGATAATATGCAAATAATGCTGACATTGTAAACCACCCAGAGAGTCATATAAAGCACTATGGGGTGGTATATAAGTCTAAATGCTGTTGCTATTGCTATCCTGTCAGTTGTATCATATTGAACCATAAAGTATGTTCAATGGCCACCAAAGAATTGATTCATACATGCGGTATCTTTTCTTGGGTCTCTTAGCTGCTCCATACTGCAACTGCCTCTCATTCTACAGCTCCAAAATTGCAGAAAAAAATCAAGATATTTGTGGTAATATGGGGATATTTATCTGATATATTCTCCATGCTTTTTTCTATTTGGTCAGCCCTCCTGGCCTCTGTCCCCAAATCTCCCTCTCTTTCATTGAAACCAGTAATCACAGTTTAAAAAAACAACAACACAAAAGTAAAACAAAACCAGTTCAACACTTGTGATGTTATTCTTCAGAGCCAGAAAAAAATAATGTATTCGTTTATTCATCAACTTATACAACTTGCACTTATAATGCTTATTGTAAGATTTTAAAAAAAAATCTACCATAAATAAACAGCAAAAAAGAGCATAAAAATAAATTGTGCTCTAGACCTGTGAAAAGAGACACAAATGCTCTTGAGAGTAAGATGGGCAGTCTATAAATTTCATAAATAAAAATATAAACACCATATAGCATGGGTTCATTTAACATCCAGACTCAAAGTCCTTAATGCTTTGCAAAAAGAAAATAGGATGGGGACTATTTGAATATCAGGGATATACCATTCCTGAGGTCTATTCATTGTGTTTCAGGTAGCCTTGACTTACAACCAACCACTTAAAGACAGTATAAAGTTATGGTGGACCTCCCTTCCTAGGGCTACTTATGACACAAGTTCGAAGTTCTGACAGCTGCCCCACCCCACCCCATTTTCCAGTCACATGATTCCATTTTGGTGGCGCAGTGGTTAGAATGTAGTATTGCAAGCTAATTCTGCCGAGTGCCAGCAGTTCAATTTTCACCGATTCAAGGCTGACTCAGCCTTCCATCCATCTGAGGTCAGTAAAATAAGGAACCAGATTGTTGGGGACAAAATGCTGACCATTTGTAAACCACTTAGAGACTGCTGTAAAGTATCATGAAATGGTATATAAGTCTAAGTGCTATTGCTACTGCTATTTTTATTTATTTATGGTATTTATTCAATTCACATGATTCCATTTTGGTGGCGCAGTGGTTAGAATGCAGTATTGCAAGCTAATTCTGCCGAGTGCCAGCAGTTCAATTTTCACCGATTCAAGGCTGACTCAGCCTTCCATCCATCTGAGGTCAGTAAAATAAGGAACCAGATTGTTGGGGACAAAATGCTGACCATTTGTAAACCACTTAGAGACTGCTGTAAAGTATCATGAAATGGTATATAAGTCTAAGTGCTATTGCTACTGCTATTTTTATTTATTTATGGTATTTATTCAATTTCAGGAAAACCCTGATTTTTCGCTATCATGGAAAACCAGAGAACTGCAGAAAGAATATACCAAGAAAAAACAAATACTTCCGGAAGGAGATCTATGCTATGTTGCAACTAATCCAAACAACAATGATCTCAGACCCCAAGGAAATTAAAAATAACTTTGAGAACATAAATGAACATGTCCCCAATTTAACTTTACAACACAAAAATTCTCAGAAAATAGAGAGCGAGCAGAAAAAACAGACAACTGAATATGAGACAGAGGAGAAAGATTTTAAGATGGAATTTAATAATACAAAGAAGTTTGACTTAACCCAGATGGAAAAAAATCCACAGGAAATTCTGGACATGGAAAAGACAACATATACTCTAAGATTAAAAAATAAGTTTGAGGATAAGAAAAAAGATTTGACAAAATGGATTTTGCCAGCAGAACTACGAGAACTTGAGAGACAAAAAATGATAAATAAAATCAAGAATGAAAGAAAAGATTCTCAATGAATACGAAGGGGCGAAACCTTTCTATAAAAACATCTTAACTGTTTTGCCTTTTGTATCTGCAACAACATTTACAAGATTATGGGAAGATTCTTTGATTCAGCGAAGCATATTGATCAGGAAAGATGTTTGAAAAAAAAGGCTAATGTGAGAATTAAGAAATTAAATGATGGGATTTACCAGAGGGACTATTTAAAAATTAAACATCTGTTTGAATATGATTAAAGAAATAGAAAGATTTTGAATATAAATGAAGATTAGTTTAAGAGGGATGAACTCCTCAAGTGACATAGTATGTTTTCTTTCTTTTTTCCTTTGTGTTTGGTTTTTTGACATGAGAAATATAAAAATGTTGGGATGGCTTGTATAAAAGAAATGTTTTCTATGTTTTTTCCCTTCTTTTTCTTTAAGATATGAGAAATATAAAAATATAATGGCTTGTATGAGAAAAAAGACTTAAATACTTAAGTGTAACTAATTTGAGAAAATCTTAACCAGTAAGAAGGCTTTGAATATTGTGGGGGAAACAAATTTAAATAAGAATTTTGTAAACAGGATCTATGACGAGGCAATCAAGATGATCAATGAAAAGAAGCTTTATATTGATGTGGTTATTATTTGTAGAAACATGAGAAAAATGTCTATATTTAATTTTCATTTATTCAAATAATAAGAACTGTATTAATTCAAGGCTGGCAAAAGAGAATATTATTGGAAGAAGAGAAAATCAAGCAAAGCTACTATGTGGACTATAGAATTATAGAAACTAATTGTTATTGACTGTTTTTTAAGGTGATTATGTTAAAAATCAATAAAACATATTTTTAAAAAATAAATAAGAATAATAAATACAGTTAAAAGATGAAGAGGAGGGGAGAAAGAAGTACACTGGGAGAGGTGGAATGTCTTCTTAATGCAATAGCTACCTCCAAAGTGGTTCACCCCCCAGGTCTGCAGGCCCTTGTGGAAGGTCAGTAAGGTGAGTGCAGATCTCACCTGGGGGAGGGGGTGACGTTCCAAAAGGCAGGAACCACAGTAGAAAAGTTACTCCTGGACTCCACCAGCCAGAATTCCTTGATTGACGGGGTCTGCAACATGTTTCCTCTGCCCGCATGGGTGAGATGGGATAATTGTTTGGAAGATGCCCAGCTGCTGTGTGTTTCATTTTTTACAGATA